TTAAAATGGAGGCAGATCTTAAACTTGAAAGCCAGGTCAGAGCTGTTGTAAGATCTAGCTTTTTTTCATTTGAGGCAATTATCTAAAATAAAGACCATCTTATCAAAACAGCTTTTTGAGACAGTAATCCATATCTTTGTTACATTCTGGCTGGATTATTGTAACGCACTTCTTTGTGGGGTTAGTGATGCATCCATCAGGCGTCTGCAGGTTGTGCTGCAGCATGTCTTTTAACTGGAATAAAAAGACTGAGCATATTACCCCCATTTTAATTTCACTCCACTGGCTACCTGTACATTTTAGGATTGTTTTTAAAGATATTTTATTTGTTTTTAAATCCCTTAATGGCCTACGCAGGGTTGCTGTAAGATGTGTAGACAATAATGTAGAGAAGTGTTTGAAAAATTCAGACGGAAAGCCATGGACACTTGCCAGATTGCACTGAAGCTATAGCTAAGGAAACTTCTAACTGAGAGGTGGGTTCATCCAGCCTTGTTTTAAGTTCTGGTGGAATTTCAGGAATGTTAAGTTTAGCTAAGAAATCAGTAATTGCATTGCACTCAGTGTGGGACTCTGAGGTGTAAAGCTGTGAGTAAAAATCCCTGAATACTTCATTTATTTTTTCATGATCTGTGACTATGTTGCCATCTTGTTATCAAATTTTAAGAATACCTTGCCTTGACCTAGAACCTTTTAGAAGGTTTGCCAGTAATTTATGGAGTTTGTCACCATGGATATAAAATTTGGATTTGTCATGTAAAACGAAACGTTCAGTTGGGTACGTTGTGAGTAGGTCAAGTCTTGTTTTAAGTTCAACATGCTTTTTAAAAATTTTGTGACTCTGTTTGAGAGCATACTGGTCATTGGTCTCCTTAATTTGTTGCATAAACTTATTTCTTTCATGAGTTGACTGTTATTTAATTTTTGCCGAATAGGCAATAATCTGGACTGTGATATAAAGGCTTAAAGGCATCCCATATGACAAGGCTTGAAATCTCTGGGGAAGAGTTGGTGGCAATGTAAACGCGTATCTCATCCTGGATAAACTTTACAAAATTTTTATCTGACAGAAGGGTTGAATTGAAGCGCCATTGTGCGGCTTTTACAGGACGATATGGAAGAGACAGATTAAGTGGGTTGTGATCTGAAATATCTATGCTATGTTAGGCACAGGAGTGAACCTGCTGCAGACAATTAGTGTCAATAATAAAGTAAGTGTGGTGCACATGTGAGAAATTGGAGTAATCTCTTTTGTGAGGATTTAGGGTACGCCAAACATCACACATTCCATATTCCGATAAAAAAAAAAGGCTTGAATGACAGATGCAGATTTGCTTAACACATTACTCTTAGCGAATGAGTGATCCGGGGCTGGGTCTAACCAGCAATTAAAATCACCCCCCAGTATAAAGAGAGTATTTAAGTCAGGTAAAGAGGAGAATAGTTGTTTAAAGAAATTAATAGCTTTTTAAAACAGAAATCAGCTTTTTAGAACATTCTAGTCAGGTTTTAGATGTTTGATTTGTTGCTGGTAAATCCTCTGTGTTAGTTTTATTAGGTGTGAGCATTGCATTTGATACTGTGGATCCCTGGATTTCTCTGAATCGCTTTCAACACTAACAGAGCACAATAGTGAATAATAAGGTTTATTAAATATTAAGGTGGTTATTTCAGTTGTGCTGGGGCCTTTCTGCTTTGATGATTTCAGTTGTAACTAGTTTTTTTTCAAACTCTGGGCGTTATTGAGTTCACTTCTGTATCTCTGCTATCTCCTGCTTACTTGACACAGATACTTATGTGAGTTCACATTAACTGTCTGCAGACTTTGAACTCACCAGTGACAATGGTGGTTTTCCCGTGAAGCTTTACAGTACTTTTACATCTGGGCAATTTGAGAACAATCAGGTGGCGAAGAAAATAAACTTCAGTTGAAGAAACCACCATTGTCACTGGTGAGTTCAAAGAACAAATAGAACAAATAGCACCAGTACCAGCATCATCCTTACTGTAGAAACCAAAGACTAATAATAAGTGTGGGTTCACAGTATCATTGCAATTACTTCCTGGATCTGGTAACAACAAATGCAACAGTTTCATACCTTCCAAACTCACAGCCAGCCCCTCTTTCCACCAAACCTCTGCTGCAGATATTTTATCAGGACACCTAGAAAGTGCCAAGTCTTGCCCAGTGGCAACAGAGGTCAGCTGTTACACGTCAACAAAGACAGGCCAGTTTTAAATGTTATATGCTTAAAGTAAAGCTATACCCCTGCCTAACGATGATAGCCTCATGTTTTAATGGTTTTAACAATATGAGTTAAAGACACCAGACAAAACAATGTTTTGGCTGTTATACTAGTTCCTAGGCTGTAGCAACAGTCCCAGATCTAATTACATTTCATTGCAGGGCTCGCAAAATCGCTAGCCCGTCGTCCCGGGGCTAGCGATTTTTCCAGTCGGGCTACCAAAATCTATCTCT